GTATACATTTTAAGTCCAAAGATAATGCCTCCATTATTGCAGAATGCCTCATAGATTCAGGAAGTCCTATTTCGTTTATTAAAAAATCGTGTGTCCCAGTTGGAATAAAACTTAAAGCACACGCAGAAAATTACTTTGGGCTAAATGAAAGCCAGTTAAATGTGATTGGAAAAACATTTGTTCATATTTTCAAGAAGTTTGAGAAAATAAATTTTTGGTTAATAGTTGTCCCTGATGAATCTATGAGGTCTGAAGTAATTTTAGGGAGAGATTTCATGGAAGCTTGCAATTTATATGTTGACCCAATCGCCTTGAGAATGATTTCAGTGGAAAGAGCAGCTGGCACGTTAGATAAATCGTTAGAAAATACATTGTTAGGAAACACATCGTTAGATAAATCGTTAGAAAATACATTGTTAGGAAACACATCGTTAGATAAATCGTTAGAAAATACATTGTTAGGAAACACATCGTTAGATAAATCGTTAGAAAATACATTGTTAGGAAACACATCGTTAGATAAATCGTTAGAAAATACATTCTTAGGAAACACATCATTAGATAAATCGTTAGAAAATACGTTGTTAGGAAACACATCATTAGATAAATCGTTAGAAAATACATTCTTAGGAACCACATCATTAGATAAATCGTTAGAAAATACATTAGTAAATAAAGTGTTAGAAAATGAAGAATTAGGAAAGAAGTTAGTAAATAAAGTGTTAGAAAATGAAGAATTAGGAAAGAAGTTAGTAAATAAAGTGTTAGAAAATGAAGAATTAGGAAAGAAGTTAGTAAGTAAAGTGTTAGAAAATGAAGAATTAGGAGAGAAGTTAGTAAGTAAATTGTTAGAAAATAAAGAATTAGGAAGGAAGTTAGTAAATAAAGTGTTAGGAAACAAAGACTTAGAAGAGAAATTGTTAGACAAATGGTCAAATAATAAAGAATTAGAAGAAAAATTATTAGACAAAGAAGAGATCGATAGGTCAAAAGAGTGTTTAGAAAAGTCAATGGAAATAAATAGCAAAAGCGTTTTTGACGATAATTTTGAAAACAGCATGCTTCAAATTAATGTGGTAGACGGAGACAATGAAAAAGAGATATATATTATCGGTGAAAATATTAGTTATGATGTGCGGAAAAAACTAATTAGATTGCTGAAAGTGGAATATGTAGATGCTGAAAGGCCAGTGAAACCTAAAAAGAAATGCGAAATGAATATACGAATTGAGAAAGCAAAACCGTTTAGCTGTTCACCAAGAAGGTTATCATACACTGAAAAGGAAAAATTACAGATAATGTTAGACGAATACCTTAGAAATGGCATCATACAACCTAGTTGCTCAGAGTATGCTTCACCAATAGTATTAGTAAAGAAAAAAACAGGAGATTTAAGAATGTGCGTTGATTTTAGAAAACTCAACAAGATCATGATCAAAGACAATTATCCTTTGCCGTTGATTGATGATTTGTTAGACAGACTAGTGGGGAAGTCTATTTTCACGAAGCTTGACCTGAAGAATGGATATTTTCATGTTTTTGTAGAGAAAGAGTCAGTAAAATACACATCGTTTGTTACGCCGTTAGGACAGTTTGAGTTCTTGAGAATGCCTATGGGATTAAAAACAGCTCCGCAAGTTTTTCAGAGGTTCGTTAATGATATATTTGCAGATTTAATAAAGGAAAGCAAGGTAATTGTATATATGGATGATATAATGATTGCCAGCAAAGATGTGTCCGAGCATCTTAAGATACTAGAAGAGGTTTTAAAACGATTAGTAGAGAACAAATTAGAGTTGAGGCTGGATAAATGCGAATTTTTGCAGAACAAGGTTAAATATTTAGGATTTGTAATATCAGAAGATGGCATTAAAGCAGATGATAAGGGATTAGAAGCGGTAAAGAATTTCCCAATACCTAATAAAGTTCAGGCGGTGCAAAGTTTTCTCGGGTTGTGCTCATATTTTAGAAGATTTATAAAAGACTTTTCAACTCTGGCAAAACCGTTGTATGACTTATTGCGGAAAGATAGAAAATTTCAATTTGAAGAAAAGGAACTAAATTGTTTTTTATGCTTGAAGGAGAAATTGTTAGAGGCACCAGTACTAGCGTTGTATAATCATAAAGATGACGTAGAATTGCATTGTGATGCCAGTGCAATGGGATTTGGAGCAGTGCTTTTACAAAAGAAAGAAGACGGAAAACTGCATCCTGTATTTTATTTTTCAAAGCGAACGACAGAAACGGAAGCAAAATATCATAGTTTCGAGCTGGAAACTTTAGCCATTATTAATGCACTTAGGAGATTTAGAATATATTTGCAAGGCAGAAAATTTAAAATAGTAACGGATTGTAATTCTTTAACTTTAACTTTGAATAAAATAGATCTTAACCCTAGAATTGCAAGATGGGCATTGGAAATGCAAGAATTTGATTATGAATTAGTGCACAGGGCTGGAAGTCAAATGCAGCATGTAGATGCATTAAGTAGATATAATAATACCATTATGGTAACAGAAGCAAATAGTTTTGAGACTAATTTAATTATTTGTCAGACAAAAGATGCAAAGTTACAAGAAATTAGAAAATTGTTAGAGAAACAAGAGCATAAATTATTTGAAATGAGAAATGGTGTTATATTTAGGAAGACAAATGATGATAGACTACTATTTTATGTACCAGAAAAGATGGAAGAACATGTATTGTACAAATATCACAATGAATTAGGGCACGTTGGAAGGGACAAGATGCTTAATGCAATAAGTAAATCATATTGGTTTCCCAATATGAAAAAGAAAATTTTAGAACATATTGAAAATTGTTTGCAATGCATAGCATTCTCGCCTAGAACGGGCAAAGCAGAAGGGTTGCTGCATAGCATTCCAAAGGGGAATAAACCGTTCCAAATAATTCATATTGACCATTATGGACCAGTGGATAACGGCAGATCAAAGAAATACATTTTTGCAGTAGTAGATGGGTTTACAAAGTTTGTCAGATTATTCACTACTAAAACAACAAGCACTAGGGAAGTTGTAAAGGCATTGAGAGAATATTTTAGAACATACAGTAAGCCAGAATGTATTATATCAGATAGAGGAAGTTGTTTTACGTCAACGGAGTTTGACCAATTTTTAGAAGAAGCAAAGGTAAAGCATATTAGGATTGCAACGGGATCGCCACAAGCGAATGGTCAGGTGGAGCGAATAAACAGAAGTTTAGGTCCGATGATAGCTAAACTAATAGAAGGTGATAATGGACAGCATTGGGATTCAATAATTGAGAGGGTGGAATATGTTTTGAATAACACTCAACATTGTAGCACCAAGCAATTGCCAAGCGTAATGTTATTCGGAATAGCGCAAAAGGGGAAATTAGTGATAGTTTAGGAGAGCAATTAGAGAAAATAATAGGATTAGATATATGCAGTTCACAGAATTTAGAAGATATTAGAGAACAAGCACAACATTATCAATCTGCAGCACAAACACGGAATGAAGAGAACTTTAATAATGCTAGGAAAGCTGCAAAAGTATACAAGCCAGGAGATTATGTAATGGTTAAGAATTTTGACAACACGGTGGGAATATCAAGGAAATTAATACCTAAATCAAAGGACCATATGTCATAGATAAAGTACTGAAGAACGATAGGTATTTGATAAAAGACGTTGACGGTTTCCAATTATCCAGGAATCCTTATCAAGGTGTTTGGAGTGCAAGCAATATAAGACATTGGATAAAAGCATAAGAGAGATAATAACTTATATTTTAGATATTAATTTCATAACTAGTGTGTAACATTTAATTAATAATTTAATTTTTATAACATGTAAATAGAATATCTGTAAGAATTTTTTTTTGTATCAAACATGTAAACACAATATTATTTTTAGGAAGTTAAGTATCAAATATTATATAAAATTAACAGAGATAGAGGGCTATCTCAGAGTCAGGATGGCCGAATTGTAGCAGGCTACTAGCCTATGTATACTGTAGCTGGTTACTAGCCTATGTTATATTAGATTTAAGTTAACAGCATTATGGTTAACCATCGATAGATACACATCTATCGATAGTTAACCATATTGGTGGCTGAGGAGGCTGTCGATATGCAACATGCCATTTTGAGTAATAGAAAGAGGAGGATCGATACATTTTAAGCTTGAATGTGAACCATAGCAGACGTGTGTATATTAAGAAATTATGAAATAAAGAAATTAAATAAAAGGCCTACTACAATATTATTTTAGGAAATTAATTCAAAATATGGCATTTACTTTTTGATTGAATATTTGTAGCGTTTACTTCCCACAGTTTCTTTGACTACATTTATAAATGTAATTTTAAGATTTATGTATAAGTATAAGTATTATTTAGAGAATAACAAAATTATTGTGCCATTCGTGAATTTTCAGGACTTTTGTGCCTTGAGTAAAATTTGCGTATTTTAATGAATATGTTGAAACTTCTAATGGGATTTTAGAAAACAAGATGTTAATAGGTTTATAATATTTTCAGCTGATATTATAATTAATTAATTACTTCATTAATTATACAATTCTGATGACTTGAAAGTAGGAGTGGAACGGATTGCTAAAATAATAATGATGAAAAAAATCAGTTTACTTAAGCACATAATATATGTGAGTTCTTTACTGTTCTACTTCCAGCTGTAGCAAAGTATTTGGTAATTGTTGAAAATTCTTTTTTTTACTTCACATTTTTACTTTTTTAATTTACTTCTAATAAATGTATTAATTAATCGTGCAATTAATTGACCTTAACTGAAATTTCGATTAATTCTCTATGATTCCTAAATTTACCTTAGCCTGACTCTACTGCTTGGTTATCAGAAAATTTCGCTGAAGTTGTTAAGTTAAGTTATTCACGAAAATTTAAGAAATTTGTTATGTGTTTTCATATACCCTGTGCTTTATTTCCCTAGACAATAGAATGCCTTCTTTTTATAGCTCAGAGCATGCTTTTTTTTTTTTTTTTTTTTTTTTCTACACATGTGTGTGAAATATTTGTTTAGGTGCAGCCAGGAATTTATGTTTGAATAATCTACTCGTCAAAACATTTGTTGAGCATACTGTCATATTTACTTTTTTATTTTGCTTCGCGCTACGCTCATTCTAAAAGTGTTTGCAACCTGGGAAATTTTCTTCAAAATTCAGTATATTTTTCAGCCAACCCAGACTTGACTCCATAAAATTATCTATGTGTGCAGACAAAACAGCGGAGACATGAAAAACGACAATAGAAAAGCAGAAAAGAAGAGCGAACGAACGAACGACCGACCCGGCTATACAGAATGGAGGCGATAAAAATGCAATAAAATGGCGACGGTGCCGGGTGATAGCGTTTTGAGATGGGGCGGCCAGACCGAGGGTTACAAATGTTCCCACTGTGTATTGTAATCACTCAGTTAGCCTCGCTTTCCGGGTTCCGTTATGCATGTGGCCCGCCGTTTATCTAAAGAGTTTCGCTGAAGGGTTTCGTTGTGGTTGCGCTGCATGGCCAAGGAGTGAGGTATGGGGAGATAGCGACTGAGAGATGGAAGCTCTATAATGGATGCTCCAAGTGTAATCATGTTTACCATAGAATATGGCAAAAAGGAAATATTAAGAGCTGACCGTATTCTAAATTTCGTAATTAGTTTGTGTTGTGGGGGATCTTGAGTGGATACAAAAGATAAAAGAGAGGGTGCCAAAGATTAAAGTGAGAAAGGCAGAGAGAGAGAGGGAGAGAGAGAGAGAGAGAGAGAGAGAGAGAGAGACAGAGAAATAGAGAGAAAGAATGATACAGAGAGTGCTAGAGAAAATGTTACAGAGAGAAAGGGAAAGAGCGAGATGGAGGGAGAGAGTGAGAAGAAAATATAGTGAGAGAGAGAATGATAGATAAATGCGAGAGAGTGAGAGAGAGTAAGGGCTTACTATTTGGGATTTGTATTTTCGATAGGAACGTTGAATTTTATTTTTATTTATTTATTTTTAAATTAATTTTCTCTTTTATTGATTTCCTCTTTTGTCAATTGGATAATCACTAAATCAAATCTTTACCTTTATAACACACAGAATATATTTGAGTTAAGGCAACTCAAATTTTCATTTAAATGAAAATATTAGAAATACTCTATTATATAATAGAGTTAAATTTAGTAAATTGAGTATCCGCAGTAGTAGTACCAAAAGAAAGAGAAATTCATTTAATATATATTAATTCTGATGTTTTGAGACAATATTGTATTGATAATAAGAGATTTAATTTTATTTAAATTAATAGGAGGTTTTAAAAATATTTATAACAGTGTTTTATAAAATATTTAGTTTATGTTTTGCAAAATTCGATTGCTAATTAATTTTAAAATGCAATCCCTTTTCTCTGATATATATTTTATATTTGCAGATAAGTTACAAGGAAACAGCAATTCGAATAATTAAGTAGTAAAGAAACAATGAAACGCATATTGAAGATGAGTTTTTGTTTTTCAGTATATTTGATAAAGGTGAGGGAGTGAGAAATAATACGAATTCTTTTGGAATCACAAACTTTGTCAACACACAAAAACAAATTAAATTTTCTCTTTTAATTAAAGTGTTTATGCCATGCATTTAATTAAATTATTCCACTCTCTCACGCGCTTTCTCAGTTTGTCTCTCCCTTCCTGCGATGCTCAGATATTTAAAGGGCAAACCAAATTATTTTAGTTTCCGCTTTATTGTCTCGATAAATTTTAATAAACAAGTGCAGCAGAAGAAGTTTCTCTATCAACGCCTGCTCTAAAATATTCCCAGCCACTGGCAACGGCTCTTCAGCTTTGGGCAGTGGCCGTTAAGCAACAGCTTTACGAAACTGTCGGCCCACAGGGCGATGAACGCTGCCGTTTATAATGACAGACAGTTGGGAGCTCGTTTTGGGAAGCGTCAGTCAGTTAAGCCATTGGCCGAAGTGAGTTGTCTGGGTCAAGCGCTGGCCTCATCCATATAACGGACATGTGCTGCTGCAGCTGCTCTGCTCTGCTCTCTGTCTAATTTAATTAAAATCAACTTAAAGCAGCCCACGGCCGACGAGGCCGACAGGCAAGTCCGTGCTAGTTGCTTGTGCTGCAGGCCAATATGTTATGCTTTTAATTTGTTAATTCATTTTCTGGCTGTAGCTGGAGTGGGCTAAATAAGTGCAACAAGCCGTGGTGCAGCTGCCACACATGGACACTCCGTGCACTTTATTTGGTTTGCTTTAACTGCTTTCACTTTTCTATTCACTCTTTTTGTGCTGTTTCGGGTTGCAATGAAAAATGGCTAAGCGTTGTTCATTTGCACAGCTAATAGCAGCTGCTCACACACACACATGTGCCACCTGTAAGCGCTTTAAATTTAATGCTGCCTACTTGCAGGCGCCATAAAACATTCTTCAGCATTTCTTTTTTCTTCCCTCTCTTGGCATTGAGCATAAAATAATATAATAATATATTCTATATGTATATGTAGGTATTTTTTATATTCACACATTCTGATATATTAAGCGTGTAAACTGACGGAACACATCATCAGCAGAGCCAACTTACGACTCTCTGTCTCATGCCAGAGGAAAATGCTCGCAATGGTTTCCTTCCTGACTTCCTTCGGCTGACTGGGCCATAAATTTGTCTACCAACCTTTTGCAATTTACGCATCTGCTGAGACAGTGTTTGCTCTATATGGTTTTAGGAAGAGCATAGTTGTATGTTTATAGTAGCAAGAATATGAGGATCATAAAGGCTTTCTAGCAAAAACTATATATTTTTATTATGGATTAATGTTTATTCAAAATGTTGTTTTTATTTTTATTTTACGATAATTTATTTTATGTTTTTAAAATAATTTTTTTTTAGATCTATTATTATTATTCATATTTACTCCATTTTTGTATTATAATTTTTACAACTTATTAATACACTTTTTTATGATATACATATATAAACTTTATGAATTACTTGTTTGGGTTCTAGATCTTTTCTATCATTTTTGTTTGATATTAAAAATATGTAATATTACCTTAATTATTGTTAAACAAATTTTATTTATATTGACTTTAGTCGGTATTTGAGGATTAAATTTTTGTTCATATTTTCTGCAAATAATTATACATTAATTATATTATGTATATATAACAAGTATATATATATATATATATATATATATATATATATTAATTTCATATTTAGTATTTGTTAATTCAGTTTTTGATATGTGCGACTTATATTATGATAATCTGTCATCAATATCAAATTAAATACGAGTTTATTTAATTTTAAAAAATATGTTGTTGCATTTATACTGTTTCTTTTCAGAGCATACAAAAGTCTTTGTTGGCATCTCTGTTAACACTTCGTATATTAAATTAAATTTTATTTGCTGCATGCGCGTGGGTCAGAAGCAATGCCAGTGCCAGAGCCAAGGCCTCAGACGCCATGTGGTATATAACATAATTTTTTATTTGTCCAAAGCAGACAGCTACACCCAGCGTGGATTCACCTTCCGGAATCGCGCCTGTACTGGCTGTGAGACTTTAAGATTCTTATACAACTTTAATCAGATTACAGTGCGCAAATCCTGGCAACTGTATCGTATATGCATTTCCAAGTGAAAATGTCAGAAATCCTTTGCACTGCAAATCAAATGTCAGCTAATGCAGAAGTAACATCAGGCGCATGCAGCTGATAGCAGAGGGAAGCTACATGAAGTTGCCTCGAATTGTGGCCATGATATGGCAGCAATGTGCACAAAAGCCACAAACAATTGACCCGCTGCAGACAATTTCTCAAATGGAACTATGTGCGGTGCATTTATAAGAGCTCGTATATTCCATGTTTTTCTCATCATTTGTTCATTTTATCTTCCACATTTTTTGCTCTTGTGCGCAATCGAGCAATTTGTTTGGTAACCGACACAAACGTAGCAAAAATCTATAATTTTTTTCCTATGGTCACTTTATATCGAAATCTTGTAGATGTGCATTGGCTGCAGTGGAAATATTTGTAAAAAATTCGGCATGGAATACTTATGCAGCGTGTTTTAAGTTTTGCAGTCATTGACTAAGCTGTAAAACTGACTAGAGAAATTTAATAGAATTTTAAAACATTCATATATGTGTATCATATATAAAATATTAGCTAGTCACCTTCGAGGAGCTTGCCAGGCGTTTCCTTAGCTGATTTCTTAATAAAACTTACTAATATATAGCTAAAATAAATTGATTCTCTATTTTCGATTAATTTTACACATTTTTATACCCTGAACCCATTTTCAATTGGCAATCAGGGTATAATAGTTTTTAATTTGAATTAAGCGAAAATGTTTTTTATTTTTTATTGATTTTATCATCTTATGGGTAAGTTACACTTCGAGATCTATCACAATATCAACTATACATAATAAAAAAAGATAATAACGGTTATTACAAAAAGTTAATTCATGTAAAAAGCCCAGAATTTATTTTAATTTGCACACAGATGCAAAATCCAATTCTGACTATATTTGGAAATAATATTTTATTATACATTATTATATATATATATTTTGTATCAATAAAAAACGAGCCTAATGAAATTTGATGCTCGCATTTGTAAAATAATATATTCAAAAAATAGTTTTAAGAAACCTTTTAGAATAAAATATTTTATTATTGTTATTTTCGCATATATTTTTTTTTTATTTTTTCAAAATAAGCTTAATGAAATTTGAGGAATGTTCTTATCATAAAATATATTTAAAATATATATTTTAAAATACCTTTTAAAGACTATGCTCGAATTTTGGCCTGTTTGCAAATTAGTTTTCAAACAAAAGAATAGTGAATCAAATCGCTACAGAGACCAATGATTTTGATATATTGTACAATTGTTTTTGCAGTCTGAAATGTTAGCTCGAAATGCACTATAAAAACTTATGCTATTATTTTTACTTCAAATATCGCACTATATATGCAAATTAATTTTGTATGCGATGAAATAATAATGCGTTACCTTTATGTCTATTCTCATATTTACTTTTGCTGCCATTCAATTTGTGCAGCAAATTCAATTACGGCAGTTGCAACGCATGAAAACATTGCGTTTCATATACTATAATCCGCTTACTTTTCACTCACATGATATTTTGCACGCTCCGCCACGAGCTCTACCTCAACATGGGCATAGAAATTGACTTGTTTACCCAAATAAAGCAAAAAGTATAGGGAAAATATAGCAGCCAATACAAATGATTAATGCGTGCTGTGTCAGCCCAAAAATATGCGCTCGATATGAAGGGGCGGGTAGAACGCCAGCTAGCCAGCCAGCCAGCCAGGGGCGTGGCACACAGCGATGCGAGCAATATGAAAGAAAGTTGGCTAACTTATGCTGATTATAGTCAACATTGGCCGCAAGTTATTATCAAATGTCTCCCAGGAGTAATATATATCTCTTCTATACAAAAAAAAAAAAAAAAAAAAAAAAAAAAAAAAAGCAAAACAACAGCAAAACAGTTCAAAGGGGCGTTTGCTTTGCCCCCCAGCAGCCCCTGGGCGTTGCAGCGTTTAACACAATAATCGAATATTCATATGGATGGGGAAGGGGAGGGAAAAGTCGAGCAGGCTGGGGACTGGAGCTCGGGTTTGCGGAGCAAAGCGCTTGCTTAAACCTTTGTGTTGGGAACTAATGTTTCCATGGAACACGCCCAATTTTTGTTTTTGTTGACCGAACCGGACAAGGAGCGAAACAAGTGCCGTTAAATGAGCTTGTTAATCATGTTCATGTTCATGTTTGTGCGTGTGCATGATTTATGCTCATTTATATATTATTAGCTAAGCCATTGGCACAGCATATGTGTTTAAGAGTGAGAGAGCTGGGGTTCCTCTAAGTGACTTCAGACTCAATGGTTTTTACGAGCTGTAATTTTTGATATATGTGCAGAGAATAGGCTTTGTTTGCTTCTTTATGTGACATTTAGAAGGTAAAGAGTTTTATTTATTTATTTATTTATTTAGAAATGCAAATATTTTCTTAAAATGATTTTTTTGTTTGTTATTTAATTCATGATATGTTGTCGACTTGGCAAGGTATTTTTTTATGTTGCTTTATTTTATTTGTCTTTAAAATTATCTATATATATTTAATGTATTTATTTATTTATGTCTATCTATTTTATTCACTATATTTATTTTACTGCTGTACTGATTTGATATATTTTATTTATTTTATCTATGTTGATTATCGAGATTCATATATTAGTTGAAATACTTTGTATGTGTTTCATATTATTTTAATTTATTTTTAATGTTACTTTCTTTTATTTGCTCTAATTAATATTGCAGAAGTACCTATCTTACCTATTTCCCGTATTTAATACACTATATTTATTTTATCGGATCATTTTGTTTTTTTTAATTTTACTTAATTTATGTTATTTGATATATTTTATGAATTTATTACATTACATTTATTTTATTTACTTAGCCTTTTTTAATTACCTTCCTCATTTTATCTATTTAATTTATTTTATATACTTTATTTGTTATTTGTTATTTTTTGTCTAAAAAACACACTGATTTATTTGTTATTTGTTATTTTTTGTCTA